AGAGAAAGAGTTTAGATATGATAGGATGAATATATTCTTTTAAGTTTATCTTTTCAACGACTCATAGTGTTTGTTTTGCAACTCTTTATTAATAATCTTAGCAAGTTGTTTGTTAATTTTTTTTTTGTAAAGCAACAAAGTTCTAGTATTGTGAATTTTTGTGCCAGTGCTAAGGATACCTATTAATTACCAAATTTGATCAATTTAGTGATTTTCTAGTGTGTGTGTATGCCATGGCCCCATGTCCTATGTTTTAGACTTTAGCCATGTCGAGGTGTTGGTGTCATCCCATGTCAGTGTCAGAATCAGTGCTTCATAAAATAATTGGAGAGGATTTGGGTTTGGGTTTTTAGTGATTGTGTGAAGAATCTGAAGATCTTTTTACACTGACAGGGAATTGAAGTTATAAGGTTAGGTTGCTGTGCTTGTTGTACAATTATGCACTGGTGTTGGTGTTGGTGTTGGGGGTAAAAGGACATGAAATAAGTTAATATGAAGATTCTTCTGTAATATAATCACAGTCAGACTACCTTTTTATTAGCAAATTGCTTGTGAAACTGCATCTAAGTTTGGCAGGAAGTGGGAATGTTTGATATCTGATGCAGCAGATGAATGTGTTGAGTCCATTGACAGTTTGTTTAGAAGAGATTGTGTAACAGTGTGAGTGGCATTAGTCAAAACCAAACCATATGTAAGCTCCCAAATTTGATTAATTTGGTTGGAAACCAAGTCCAGTGCTACTTAATTGTCTCTTTCAAATGTTTTTGCTTGGAATATTAGATTGTGCCTTTTGTTTTGTCTTACAAAATGTATATAATGTGACATAACACCTGGGGAAAACGTAACTTCCATAGTTATCACAGCCAAATAGACTGCAGTATCCAAATTCCGACAAATTTATCCCAAAAGTAGTGTGTATTGGTTTAAAATGGCTGATATGTGGTGATTAACTTTTATGTATTTAGCCTTTGCTTCTCTATAGTCTACACTTCTTTGTGAAACAGAAAGTTGGAGTAAGAAAGAAGCTTTGATTTGCCCTGTTTAACTTTAGGAAGTCTTATTGGAAATCACATTTATGTCTTGGTTGATTCTTTAGCCTTTACCCTTCAGTTGTGAGCATCAGCTTATATTCATGGATCTTAGGGTTGATAGCTCTGTTGTCTATCTCTATGCATCTGATTTTTTGACGTAGGACAGTATAAATCTCAGCAATTAAAGTGGGGATTTAAATCTTAAGAAATCCTGTTAAACTATCACTATCAAGTGAAGCCATGGTAAATTTTACCAGGTTGTCATTTCCAGGTCATGGCATTAGGATATCTGTTTAAGTTGTGATTTCACTCATTTCATCTTTAGGAACAATAATCTGACTGGTTATGCTGCTATTCAGGTATTGACGATACTAGCATCTCTTTTGGACCTGTAGAAGGTATGTCATTGTAATCCAGCTTCCTACTTACTGTGTATTATTATTCACTTGTGTCCTTGATTATTTTAAATTTCATAACTCATGAGTCATGTGGCAGTTTGGTTTAGTTATTGATTATTTTCATAAGTAACTAATATGCACCACATCCAAGTCACTTAAGTGTGGATTTTGAACTACTGTAATAAAAAACATGCTAATGTACATACATAGTCGCATGTATCGCATGGAAATTTAACCACCGCTACCATAGATAATTTTTCAGCATTCTGATGTTTTGTTTCTTCTTCTGGTAAATGTTATCATAAATTGATGGGAAGAAGTGACATAAATAATGAAATGTTACTTTGAAGAGCTTGTTAAAATGAGAATTCAAATGGTGTACTCTTTAGAAATGTTCTGGTTATCTAATTTTACTAGGAAGTCATTCCACTAATGTGTGGCTTGATAATTTTTTTTCTTACATAATAATGGGAGAAAATATTTATGTTACTTATCAGTTTTGCTTAATTAAAATGTCTAGTTTCCATTTAGTGGGAGGAAGTATTTATAGTTTTATACTACTTATTGCTTATACATGATCAGTGAAGCATGTGATCATATGGTGGGAAGAAGTATTCATAATTCTTAATGCTTAGCATTATCAGTTTTTCTATAGTCTAATGTCCATCTTTTGCAGCATTTTGAATTTTTCATGGCCAAAATTAGTATTAGTATATTTAGCATTTTAGAAATGAAAATGAAGATTTTAACAATTCAGGAGGGAGTCTTTATTGAAAAGGATATAGATGTACATTTGATCTCATAGATGTTACCCATTCATTCTTTCCATAGTACTTTTTGCTACTTCATGTTTACCACAATTCTCAACTACTTGGCATTTAGCTACTGGAAGACCAACACTCAATCTTGAGAGAAGTTTGGATCATGATGGACATCCTCTTGCCATTACCACAGCTGATGCTGTTGCAGCAAGTGGAGTCCCTCCTTGGAATTGGAGAGAGGCTCCTGGAAATGGTAAGCTATGTAAAGCTTCATAGTTTGATGCATGCTTGCTTTCTCACCAATAAAGGGAAAATGACTAAGTGCATAAAAAAGAATCATTTTTGTATCTTGGTAAATGTACACTATTTGTCCTAGCAGTTTTGGTAATTTTTGTAGTAAGTTTTGTAGAACCTGAAAAACATGCTAAAATAAATTGTTATTCTGTAACCCAAAAATGGAAACAAATAAATGTAGTCCCCCCTCCCCCTAGATTAATTTCATATTTCTGCAACCAATTCTTCCTATTTTGGCAGGTGGAGAAAGTCAGTCATGTTGTGGAAGGGTTATATCCGTTAAATGGGGTGATTATACAAGACGGATAGGTATTGATGGCACTCCAGAAGCCATCAAAGAGGCAATTAGGGCTGCCTTTAGGTTGAGAACTAAACGTACATTTTGGTTGGAGGATGAAGACCAGATTATCAGAAGTATTGACCGTGAAATGCCTATAGGAAATTACACTCTTCACCTTGATGAAGGTTAGATTCATTTTATTATTCTCTCTATTGCTGATTTGTGATTTGTATAAATTTAATGGTTTCATTTTAATTTTAATATCTAGGAGCTTTAGTCATTTAGTGTGGTTCTAAACCCACTTGTTGGTTTTGTCATTAAATTCAGGGGATGAATTGTATTTCACTCAAACACCGTGATTAAAATATTAAGAATGCATGTTTTCTGTCCTTTTTATATTGGAACTTGGAAGTGTATGATTGCTGTTACATTAAATTATCATTGCAGGAATGGCCATTAAATTGTGCCTCTATGATGAATCTGACCATATCCCTGTGCATACCGAAGATAAGATATTTTACACTGAAGATGATTACCGTGATTTTCTGACCCGCCGGGGTTGGATATGTCTGAGAGAATTTGACGGCTATAGAAATATTGACAATATGGACGATCTTCGACCTGGTGCCATGTACCGTGGTATGAGTTGAAAGCACGTACATGGTATGATCAATCTTCAGCTACCTACATAAAACGCCTGAAGAATTGTGGTGGGGACTGTTCAGATCTCTGATATATGTGCGGCACTAACCCGGAATTGTATTTGTTTTAGTTTTGATACTGCTGTTTATAGTATTATGATAGGAAAATGAACTAGTCCCTCTGCACAAATTCCGTTGCAATCATTGGCCTAACGTGTCTGTAAATATGCGTTTGCAGTGAGAACATAATATTGTCCAGATTTTTTAGTGGATCATTTTCATCACGTCTTCCTATACTTTTAGTTTATTTAGTTAACTTGGACGGGTTGCATATTTTCGACACTGCCTAAGCAGGAACCTTCTGAACAATCGAGCTGTTAACATTAATCAGATGAGTTTTTGTTTGGGATTTATTGCTTGCCAGGAGTCCTAAGAATTCTGTCCACCAAACCATGACTGATATTGCATCAGAAGGGACGTAAGATGTGAAATATCGTATTTAATACAAGCAGACTGGTCTCCTAGAAAGTGGAAACTTTGGTGAAGGGAGCAATTATTTTGCTGAAAAATGCAGTTGTTGGAAGTGGTGTACTAAACCAGACTATGGTGGGTACTATGTCTCTTGGATGTTTTACATGGATTTGCCTTAGGTTCCACTCGATGGATTATTACGATATATGCTTAGATTGATGCATCATTCCGTAAGCTTGAAGAAGGGTGAAAGAATTTTTAAATATTAAGGCGATGCATTGCCATGTTGAATGTAGATATTGACCATCTTGTTAATGTAGTAGTAATTGGATACGGATCACCGCAGTCGGAGAAATGACTGCAGGGGTGCATTTTCATCTCTAACCATACATTTTTAAAATAATATTTTCTATCATTATTCTGTTTAATTAAAAATAATATTAAGTTGAGATTCATGCAGTTCAAAAAAGAACTGCTGGAAATCTTGATACAGTAGTGAGTTGCTTTCATGTGTATTGGGTTATTGTGCTGTCACGCATTGTACATATTCTGGTTTTGTAATCAAATGCATTACAACGATGGCCACGGCCGAGAAATCCTCCACTAAGTATGACCTTATTTATTTTCCCACCCTGTATGTACTAGAAAACTATTTATGATGGTGCGTTGCACATGTGGGAAAGTATTTCTGTGGAACACAAACTAGGGCCACTGTTCAACACTTGTTTCCATCTAAATTTTAATCCTTTACATTTTTAGAAGGTTAAAATATATTTGGTTTTTTTTTTCTTCTTATTTTAAAAGCTTGTTTTGTTCATATATCTTTTAAAAAATTATATTTATGGTCATTTAATTTTAAATTGAGTTAATGTTGTCTTTCCATTTTTATTTTTTATTTTTTTATTTTAGGGTGCAAATTTGAATAATTTTTTATTGAGACATCAAATTTCTCTTGTTATATGTACCTACATAAAAATTATAAACTCAATCTCAAACAAAAAGAATTATAAATAGGCGAAAATTACATAAAAATTAAGAACCACAAGTGTTAGCTTTAGAAATTAAAATTAATTTTAAAAATACAAGAACAAAAATTATTAATTTTAAAAACATCTGTAAAAACCAAAAGTTAAAACTTTTCACGGACGAGACATCGTTAACCCTAAAATAACTTTATTTGATTACTTAATACAATATTAAAAATATAAAGGATTATTAATAAATTTATCTCAAAATATATTCTTCATTTCTGTATGCCTGATGAATTGAAATTGTTGTGAAAATATGGCTAATGATCGACCGGATTAAGCATTTCAGCCTACGCAAACCAAATATATTTCTACAGTTATCTATTGATAAGTTGAAATAATCATGAAAATACTACTAATAATTGGCTGGGTTAAGCATTTTATCCTATGCAAACTAAGCACGTAGCTTTTACTGTTTGTAACAAGACTAAAGATTTTCATCATGAAATATTAATGGCGCCCTTTATCATCTATTATCTCTTTAAGGCTTTGTTTGGATTTGAGGATGAAAAAGAGGGAATGGAATTTGCAACGATGGAAAGGCGAAGAAAAGGAGGAAGAAGCGTGATTCGCGTCCTCACTTTTGTGCGAAGAAAGAAGAAGAAAGTCACGTAAGATTTATAAAAACCCAGAAATGCCCTTTCGCATGCATGCATAGTGTGCCATGCAGTGAAAAAAGCATATACGAAGGAAACATAATCGATTATGCAAGAATACATAATCGATTATGTAAGAACATAATCGATTATGTTGAAGCATAATCAATTATGCAAGGGCATAATCAATTATGTAACCTTGCATAATCTATTATGCTGTATATATATATACAGCATAATCGATTATGCTGTATATATATATAACATAATCGATTATGTTATATATATATACAGCATAATCGATTATGCTGTATATATATATACAGCATAATAGATTATGCAAGGTTACATAATTGATTATGCCCTTGCATAATTGATTATGCTTCAACATAATCGATTATGTTCTTACATAATCGATTATGTATTCTTGCATAATCGATTATGTTTCCTTCGTATATGCTTTTTTCACTGCATGGCACACTATGCATGCATGCGAAAGGGCATTTCTGGGTTTTTATAAATCTTACGTGACTTTCTTCTTCTTTCTTCGCACAAAAGTGAGGACGCGAATCACGCTTCTTCCTCCTTTTCTTCGCCTTTCCATCGTTGCAAATTACCGGAAACGAACAACAAGTTTCTTCGCCTTTCTTTGCTCATGAATAGTAAATCCCTGGAAACAAACACTACCTAACTAATATGTGTAACATTTTGTTTAAAAAGAGTAATGAATTATCAATTTTTTTTTTTGCTATTTAACAATGTTTCTAAACACAAACCAATTATCCACTTGTTCACAGTATTAGTGGAATAGTAGTTGAATTAATGAATCATTATTATTTTTTTGGTTCATCCTTGGAGTATTCACCGCCGATAGTAGTGACTAATCTCCTCGCTAAGTTGGAGGCACCTCAAAGGGTGAGATAGCTGGCCCCAAGAATTAATGAATCATTATTTGAATCAACGAATCTTTATATATTAATTTTGTAAAATTTTATATTAAATATATTCTTCATAAATTACTAAATGACTATTTTAGTTCAGTAAAAAAAATGTGGTTAAGAAAAATAAATTTGATTAAAGGTGATCCAATCAGATTCTCTAAGATTAAATATTGACAAAGATTGTAAATATTTCATATGAATAACATAGTTATAATTTTTTTAATTACTTTAGTTTGTGAAATACAGGACCATAATTCGTTGTGTTTACAATTTTTGTACACTCTTTAAGAAAAAATTAATACTAGTATGTTAAACATAAAATACCTTCATTTAATATCTTGGAATATGTAGAATAAGAGCAATTATGGTTATGGAGTAGGAATATTAATTGTCAAATAAAGATGTATGTGAAAAAGTAATTAATATTACTTCGAATGTTTAGGTGTTTTATAGAGGATTTTCTTTTAAAAAAATTTATACATTTTTTATAAAAAATTTCTTAAGGTCAAGTGTGTGCAAGGTCCAAACTAACAAATAAGATGAAAAATGAAAACAATACAATTAGGGCATGCTTGTAAAAAAGTTATGTTCGATGCTCACTCAAATGAGACAAAAGATTTGCTTATACATTTCTAGTATTGAAATTAGTGAATCTCCATTTGATACATTGCAAATGACAAACTAAATTTACACTAAAATTTTTGTTATACTAAAAAATATTGCTACTTAGTAAAATTCCCTATTTAGATATTTTATTGAAAAGTTCAAAAAAAAAATCTATACCATTTTCATTTCTTTCTTTATGTCATGTTTGTGTAAGGTCCAATCAAATGTGAAAGCAAAAACAATGCAATGGAAAGATGAATTATTTTCAACTTCTAATTGCACCAAGTACAATTCCCTTTATAAATAAAGAGAACCACAACGGATTTCAGAAGAAGAAAAAATGAGAAACAAAACCTCCTTATAGAAAATCAAAATTGTAAGAGAAAAATATAGCTTGAGAAAGAAAAAAATGATGAACTAATTTGTGAATTTTTGTGAGTTAAATCAACACTAACTTAAAATAAAATGAGGTTACCATTAGCTCTATCCCCATAAACTCATTGTCCTTCAAAGTGAAAACTAATGCAAAATTATTTTACGGTTGAAAGTCAATTTAGTCCATAATCAATATATTAACCCGGCTCTTACAATAATTCTATTTATTTCAATCTCACATATTGGAGGGACTTAAAACTTAAAACTCACAACTCCAAATAAAAGGGTAAAGGCAAGGGTTAAAGGGGAGCTTGTCCCTAACTAAATTAAAGTCTTGGTCTACATACTCAATGTAAAATACAAAATATGGTTATCTCTATATTAGAGAGAGTAGTATTAGTGGCAATAGATATGAACAAATAATAAAACAATGCAAAATAGTGGTATTTAATTCTATATTATATATATGAAAAAAATTAACTTCAAATGATAAAACTCACTTTGATTTTATTTTATTTTTTATTTTAAGATTTTCAACTACAAAATATTTACCATATACATATAAAAATAATAATTTTAAGCCACTATGAAACTTCTATTTACAATTGCTTGAAAATTGTAAATAAATTTTGAAAGGAAAATATCTTAATTTAAAGAATTGTTTAGAAAATATATTGATTTAACGACTTGTTTAGAAAAAAGGAAAAGTTAATCAATAAAATAGACTAATTAAGGCATGAAATAAGTTTATTTATAAATAGACTACAATTACCTTTTAATAGTTGAATTTACTTTTATATACAAAATTGGTTCATGGGTTTTCTTAACCGTATTGACTTTTTTGGCCATGAATCAATTGAATTAGGATTTTAGAAGGCGCGGACACCAATTATTTGACAGGTCCAGTTGAAAGGATTTAATTGGATTGAATCACTTTTACATTTCAAATTCTTCATCCAAACACAATTCAAAATTATCGATGGTTATGAACCTAATTACTTTTTCTCGGGGAGGGGGGAGTGTTGAAAAGTGAAAAATGTCTCTCAAGATCTTTGTTCAACCATTTCCAACAAATTTTAACTAATTACCGTAATTTGGTTTCAATCCTAATTTTTTTATATATACTAGTGAGGTCAAGGCATTTTGTGTCTCTGTTAAAAATAAATAATAAAAGTATATTAATTTAATTGGTATTGTGATTAATCCATTAATTTAAAGTTCTTAAATTTGATTAAAAAATATTTTTAAAATATTTTTTAAAATAAAAGGGTATAATAGTAAAAAAAAAAGTGGAGATCAAGGTAGTTACTGAAAAGGGTATCCCCTTTATATATTAGTATAAATTTAATTAGTATTGTGATTAATCCATTAATTTCAAGTTTTTAAATTTGATTAAAAAATATTTTTAAAATTTTTTTAAAATAAAAGGGTATAATAATAAAAAAAAGTAGAGATCAATGTGATTACTGAAAAGAGTATCCCCTTTATATATTAGTATAGACACGCTAATCGCATTCTTGGTTTCAACAACCAGAACCAGAAAAAATTAATTAGAACGATTCACTTGTTTCATAAGACTGAAATGATTGATAAATCCAACCTTCTGAAGAAAAGAACAGAGATTTCTTGAGACCCCCATAAAGAAGAGAGGATTAAAACTACCCCACGTTTACACCCACAGTGGTACACACATCTAATAATGTGAATAGAAAATTCACAATTGTCAGGTCCAACACAACACAAAATTCACTCAAGACCTGAAGAAACAAAACACACAAGCTGAAAAA